CTTCAAACTGCCTCCCATACCAAAGCCAGTGGTCCTGAAGCGTAAGGCAAAGGAAGCCGGGTTGAACGAGAGCCAGGATGGAGGAGTTATTGACAATTGCATATCAGATGTCAGTGGGTCAAGTGGCGGTGACTCTGAGACTGATTCGGATTGAGCTTGAGGCCTGTAGATTGATTAGGTCTTTCTGTACAGTTGCACACCAATACCAGACACACATACTTTGCCTTGAATGCCATGGATCATTGGAATTTTGATGCAACAAGCAGGGGATGGAATACGACGGCACCGAGCGCCTGCCAGCGAGGCAGTGGCGGTGCATGGGTAAAGCGTGATGTGACACCCGGGCCGCCTGTTCTTTGTGTCAAAATCCCTGTTTTCATCGACCTTGCTGGAACAGGCCTCCACACCACCCAGAAAATATAATAATTATACTAGAGACTCTATTATACATCCCATAGTTGTTTAGAACTTACCCAGGTACATCAGCAAAATACCTGAAGATTTAAAACTTGGTTACAATGAGTTTGCATCAGTAAAATAGGGCGATGCAGTATTGGTAGATTTTGATAGTGTTGTACCTTGGTAGAAGTTCCGAAACGCGTTTACACAATTTCAGCAGATCATAACAGTATCAGAACGCTATCGCAACAGGATTGAAGCTCACCAGAAATACGTTAAAACCCCCTAAAATTATCTCCGGGGTTGTGCCTCATTGAACTCGTTGCGGTGGGTGGAACACGTTGAAGCCGATTTTGGGACTTCAAAGGGGGGTTTTAACTAGTTTTAGGTGGTTTTAACCGGGTTTTGATGAGTTACCAGGCTATTGAGCGATGCTATCCAGTGCTCAATGGATCTCAAATAGGTCCATAGGTTCTCTATCTACTACAATAACTTACCTTGACCATTGTGCTTGGGGGTAGATCGACAAAAGATTTGAGCGCAGGCGCCTGAGCGAGCACTTGTGCTGAGTTCTTGTCGGAGTATGAATTGTAGCATCGCGCGCCTGCAAATGACAGCTCATGCTCAACCCGACCTTCAACCACCGTCGTGAAAGACAAACCTTCATTAAGCTCAAGGTATGTTCCTTGTTAGCATCCCGATACACTCACAGACATTCTAATATACCTTGAACCACTAGTTCTGTCTTCATCGCCGGCATCATTAGACATTGTTAGCATCCACGACACAGATGCAACGTTGATGGGATGGAATCTATGGCTCAGGCGCGTTTATTATCTCTGTTTTCTTCAATGGACCTCCTGAGCTATCTCTAGATTGTCGACAATGCTGACTGCAAGACTAAGGACCAACAGGGAACCCGGAAGATGAATTTGACCGTACCGAAGACTCAAGCGCGTCAATTACTGGTCTGAGGACACCAAACACCTGTTCCGAGCGATTGCGTCAGTGACAATGCATGTGCGCCGTCACCAACGTCATCAACCTCATATTCATCGACTACTTCCACAATGGCTGCACGGACCACCTGCCCGCTATATAAACCCAACACTGCAAATCGTCAACTATCCCCTCTTTCTTCCCTTCCCCGACCACTACCTGCCATTTTCTCCGTTCCACCTATCCTCCTGTTGCTCAATGCCATCCACAATACTTGACCTCAACATGCTCTACTCAAGCTGCTCAACGCTTTACCTCCAGCTCCCCTGAAGCCTGGTTCCCCGATCATAGGTATGTTCCACTTGATCTTTCGCCCCCTTCTCCACATACTGAATCGGTTGTGTTAGCGTTGAAAGGACGAGATGGGGTATGTAGAAATGTATGTGCGCCTTACCTCTTTACTTGAGATGGCTACTGACTCGTGACTCGTGATTTCACTACAGGGCGCAAGTCAATTCTGCCGTCAACGTCGCCGTCCATCCTGCATTTTCATCGCTCCTATAAAACATTGAGGTGCATATATGCGTCCCATAATCTACGCATACTCCTTTCTTAACTCACTCAATACGCAAACTCATCGCGCCTCCATAGGGATGCTTATATGTCGGCCAGCAGGAGGTAAGTTGGTGTTGTTGGCCCTTTGTTGAGAACGTCTCGCCCTGGTTTAGGTGATAACACTCACCTGTACAAACCAAGCTTGCTCACCCTGTATTCATTGTGTGTGTAATTATATGTGATAATGCACCAATTTATTTTATTTCCTCGTCGTCATCGCCCTACATGAGATACTCGATAGACTATCTGAGGATGGGATGTGGATATGATATATATACATCGCTCGAAACGCCTGGCCATCTCAAGAACTGTAGAGAACCTGTACTATCTCTTGCTCTCTCCACAACTGATGATGACACTTGATATTTGTTCCACCTCCCGCAACTCCACATACTCCTTGGTATCCGGTACTTTCCCTGAAAACCGGTTAAAACCCCCCAAAACCCGGTACATTTTGTGTAACTCGCAACAACCCTCGCTCTCCAGTATCACCTTCATAACTCATTACGAGGTACGCAAATCCGTTGATTTCAACCAGTATCATGCTCACGGATTCTCGCTATTCTTCTGCATTTCAGGAAAGTTTTAATATGGTTATATAGGCCGTTCCTGTTCGCAACCAGGTGCAGCGGGTTTCGTCCTACCCAACGAATATCGGGGATACTAATTACATTACATCGGTCCGGGTATTTTGCTGATTAGTATCATAAGAGGCAATGTGCTGGAGGTGAGTCCCGATTTAAAATCTTGTGTCATTGACCGGTAGATGACTGTACCAGCAATTGGTTGCGCTGGAAGATTGCGGTAGAATCAATTATGAAGTCAGAGTTTGGTCAAATGTTCCTCGTGGAGAACGGTTGTTTCACTGAAAGAAGGAGCAGATGATGAAATCCGATCCGAGGGGACTTGAAAATGCGAATACGAGTTGAGAATATTAGCTACAAGATGAACGTTGGTATTCTCGTATGCAACTCCAGCTTTTGAGGGTTTGGAAGACAGCACGTCTCTTTCACCGGTGTCTTTGAATCTCGGGATAAAGCTTCTAAGACTGGGTACTCAAAAACAATCAGCGAGGCGAGATGGCGAATGCCAATCTAGTGATCACAGAGCTGTAGGTGCCTCGGAAACGAGCTTGAAGGGAGCTTCGCTGATCATGATACGTCTTGGTGTCCTTGCGATCATTTGGTGATTAAATAAGAATGGGTTTACGGCTTACCGTGGTCATGAAATTGATGAGGACAGGTGAGCCGTGGTGTAATTTCAGAAGTTGAGGAATCCTACCGGTTGAGTAACAATTACTTGGTCGTACAGATAGAAATGGGAGGGAGAGTGAGGAGATTATGGCAGAGGAGAACGATACTTACTACCGAGTACTGACTGTAGAAAGGCAAGTGGGGCGATAAGTCCGAGTTGGCGCACAAGCCGTGAGAACTCTGGGGTCGAGCCGAGCCGGCATCCCCACATCTGGTAATCCATTTCGGGAATTCCTTTTTTCTCTGCTTCTTACCTCCATCATGCCTTGCTCACTCTATTGTGGAGGTCGTCAAACGACGACCAAGGCCATGTCCTTGACATTCTCTACAGCGACGACGGCGATAAAATGATATCGTAATGCCATGCCCAGCATTCTTCCCCCGCTTTTCTTGGAAACCTAGGAACGTTCGAGGCCAAGGTAAGTCTTGGTAAGGGACGGCGCTTGGCCTTATATGTGTTGGGTCGGCTGACTAGCTCAACAGGTTTGCGTTGCCATCGACCTCTCTCTCTTTCAACTTCAACCACCATCTAAACACAAATCACTTGAGAAATACCCAACGGAACAGTCGCCTCCTGTTGAAGGATGTCGTCGACACCGACGTTCTCGGTAGCCCAGACTTTCACAGATCCGTTTCCAACTGCGTCTCCGAGTAATGGACCCAGAGGAGGCTCGGGATGGAGAGAACGAGAAGATGACCAACAGAGCCGTAGTGCTTCATTATACGGTGACTGGCCTTTCCTATACTGATATCTATCAGAGCTCATCTTTCTCGTTCAGTATACGTATTCATAGCAACAGTCGCGATTCTGCTCTGCCTATCCGCAGTAATCGCATATCGATCTCTACGTGCTCGTCGACAATACCGTCGGATGGTCGAAGAAGCGATTCGGAATGGGACGTATGTGCCCGGTGGAAATGGTGGGGTGGATCTGAGTCGGAAACCTGTTGTTTGGGAAGCTTGGTTGGGTGGTGGTGGAACGTATGTGGGGGAGAAGTGTTGGAAGGATGTTATGGTATGTTCCTTCGGGTGTATCACTTGAACCGCGCTAACTTTCAAGTTTTTTTTTTTTCAGCCAATGTCGTTACAACTGGTCAAAGAAGCAGCTGACCTCAAGAAGAGCCCTGATTTGAACTCATCCTCGCCATCGCCGCCCACCTCCCGTCTGAGGTCTCTACCGTTCCTGAGAGGTACGTTCTCCGAACGCTCGTTACCTTGGTCATCCATATTCTTACACACACCACCATTCGACGTTCCTCCTTCACATTCCTTTCCTCAAGCTCGTTCTTCCCTAGCTCCAGCTCCATTGTTACCTCCTCAAACAATCGTTTTTGATTCAACGTTTCCAGTGACGTTACGAATGCGAGTGTCGTTGTTAGTTGCGATGCCTTCGCCTCATCCGCTGCCGTTCGTGTCCCCATCGAAACCTGAGAACGACGATGAGGTCGAGTTGCCCCATTTAGAGGTTGGAAGTGTGGATGTCGAGGTTGCTTGCAGCACCGAGGAAGGCGTAGGGTCGAAGGATCTATAGCTCGGGAGCATAGGCAGGCGCTGTAGTCGTTCGTGTTCGTGGAAGGCCAGTGGCAATGTGTTGAGGTGTTGTCGATAGGCGAGTGGGATGGGAAATATGGTAGTCTGAATGCTGAGATATCAGAGTTATGTATTTACATATACGAACCGCAATATAGATACCCTGTTTGGTGCTTATACTTTACTTCGTCTGATTGTTCGTGCTTCAACCTCGAGAATATATGAACCATCTATATAACAGCAAAAAGCAGGTACAGAAATGACGGGCCCAACTGGGAATTGAACCCAGGACCTCTCGCAATGGTAGCCATCCCCCACTACTATACCCAAAGCGAGAATCATACTACTAGACCATTAGGCCGTGGCAGTATCCCGCTCCATACCAGTGAAAAGAGCTTGAAGCTAATTCTCATTTTTTTGAGCCGAGAACGTTGAGGTCTCCGCCGCCCGTGCCTATTTCCTCCGACTCCACTTTAGCCACGGTGCTTCCATAGCGGCGAGAACAGGTGCCTACGGTAACATGAAAGTGAGAACTGACCAAACTTCTCCTAGGGCCCAACTGGGAATTAAACCCAGGACCTCTCGCAGTAAGATGTTCACCCGAACGCACCCAAAGCGAGAATCGTACGACTAGACCATTGGGCCAGTGTTGGACGTTGGACGTCAAATCATTATTGGACTATTTGCGCAAAACGGCCACAGTCGTAATCGGCATTGCGCAGTTTTCCCCACCAAAAGGCCCACTTTTGCCGAGAATTTACGGCCACAGCCGAAAAATGGGACTTTCCGAGGTTTTTAGGGCTGGTGGAGCGCAATGTCAGTCACGGCCATGGGCGTTTTTGCGTGAGCGGTCTATTCTCAGAGACTCCGTAACGTCGAACGACCTGGTCAGATAAAATGGGGAGACCAAGGACGAAACAAGACCTTCACACTGACGACCTCCATCAAAGGCCAGAATCAGCGCTTTTTCCGCCGGCTTGTCAACCGAGGTAGACGCACCTTAGGCACGACTTGTTACGTCCGAGGTGGGCCTTTAAGGGGGGGTTCTTTGTACGTGAGAAACCCCTCCATCAGGTGTACCTCTGAATTGAGCTACCCACCAGGTACCCGACCACCAGCTGCTCACCGCTGCTCGCCATCGCTGGCGATGGCCTCCATCTATCCTTCGACCTCCCCCTGATACCCTCTGCGAGAGTCTAGTCTCTGAGCGCTCTGTTTTACCAATGTCTGCCATACCAGGTTCACATACAATGTCTCGATCCGACCTCACCACATCGAAATTGAGCTGCTTCGATATGATACCTCGCAACCTCGAAAATCGTCGAAAATCACCAGCGAAATAATACACATCCGGAAGGTACAGGAGGGACGGGCACGGGTAGTTTGGGCTATCAGGGTCAAAGGGGCGGTGTATAAGGCCTGGTACGTGTTGTGAGGTGCTCAATGGTTTGTGCTCACCGCCTCAGCGTTGCCCACTGGATAGGAACTCCGAACATTCGTGTATACGTGAAGATGGTATTTCAAAACACAGAACATTCCCTTCCGAACTCAGCTTGCCAACATCAAGCACAAATAACGCGTCTTTCCTGACATTTCTGGACCTCATTTACCTCCGCTGCTCATTTGGTCAGCACGTCAATTCCTACCTCAACTACCTTTTTTCACATAAAACATTTCTTTGATTGCAGAGGAATTCTCTCGAGACGACTTTGCTCCACACGCAGATTTATGAGGTGCATTTTGTATTTGCTGCCCGGGTGAGGTACTTGTGCTCGCCGACATCATCCTTTGCCTAGCACTCGGCTCCTCCTCTGACCTCATCTTCGCAGCTCTCTTCCACTATTCGCTTGCAGGGTACACTCAGAATATGTCAATCCACCGAGTTGTTTCGTAGCATAGGGGCCATCATACGAGTTGATCATGAAGGTGAGGTTAACACAGTCCCGCGGACGCCTCACCAACGCCTCAGACTTCTCACTTACCGGAATTTCAAGGTGCTCCAAAAGTCCAGAACATGCTCTCCCACTACAATCAGCCAGCTCACTTGGTCCCGGTATACTTCAATTCCAAAGGATCACGTCCATCGGACTCACTGGTGAGCTTCTGATCGCCGGCGTTTACCTACTCACCTTGACTTCTGATATCTACCTGCCCTAAACCTAGATGGAATATAGGCGATCAATTCACCCTGACTCATCTTTTTGTACCTCCTTCATTGGCTAAGTTCAATGGGCCATGCGCACGATTTCTCAGTGAGTCGGCTCAATCTAGGTTACCATCATTGTAAGAACTAAGTTTTCCAACGCCTAGCCAAAGTCTTGCGAGTCGGGAGTGCAGCAGCCGGCGCCGTACATATTGTAGTTGTAAACCTCATACACTATGACCTCTTGACTATAACCTATGTACCGGCCCGTACCTTAGTCGTCTCATTCCAGATAGCCATCAATCCCTTGTGCTTGTTCGACGCCCCGAGCCCGTCTCATCTTCAGAAAAGGTATGTTTTTCGTGATCCGGCTATTCGGGATTTACATACCCGGAGGTCTGACATGAACATATAATGAGCGCAGTGCTTCATCCACTACGAGAATATGCCTAGAATCCAGGCTGTATTGTCATTGGAGTTATCTAATCACATCAACGAGTCCTTGGATGTGAGAGCGATGATATAATGTGGCGACACCAACAATATTCGCTCGTACACTATACTCCACTAACGCCTCTGAACACGGTCCCCGACTGATTGTGTGTTCCGACCGTTTCACAAAATCCCATATAATTATGGTGGGTAGGTCTCTATGTTTATATATGAACCCAAATGGTTTTTCTATCAATTTTAAAGATGTGGTGAATAGAAAAAAAAAAGGAAGTGGCCCGGGATCACCGAGGTAGCCTTTAGACCCAACTTCTGGGAAGTATGTCGGCCATATCGTCCGGGTGAAGATGTTGAGCCTTTATAGCGGCTTGTTGACGCTCTCAAAGTATAGTTGGACACTTTTAGGGTAGTCACACGCGCCATGAGGTTGATTATTATTTAATACTCAAACTTCCGCTCTGCAAGTGCGTAAGCTATGTCAAGGTGATACTATTCAGAGGCGCCGACAGTGCGTCGGCCACGTTCTGAAAGAAAGAGCCAATGCTTGAGCTTGAAGATGCAGTAGATTTAGGCATTATTAACAACGCGCCAGACGGCACTGTAAGCTTTCAATACCTGTCTATTCAGTTTGATGTACTACACCGTAGTTGACAGCATGTGAGAGCTTTGGTATCAGAAGGAATACCGGAAGTAACACTCAAGGAATGAGCGGAATACGAGGAATGAAATACGGGGCAAACTCACGGGACATGCGACAAACACCACCTTGGCGAGCTGCGAGGCAACATCACGTAGACAATACGAGCATGGAGCTGTCCCCGAGCCACGATCAGACCACGAGAACGTTCTTGGAGAAAGGCGAGGTACGTGTCATTGAAACGAGGCCCGGCCTGTGAGTACAGATGGCAGACATGCCAAACACCTTCAAGGCGGCCTCGAGCAGCGAGAATAAGCCAAAAATGAGCGAAACAGAGTCATAGATTCGTTAATCGCACGGAGGTTACGTCCAGAACTTGTAATCCGAGTGAGGGGCAGTTTTCTTGAGTTTTCGGGCGTGAGCAAACTCTCTGGTGTTGGATGCAACCTGCTTAGCTGAATGGGTTGAACTCGTTAAGAGGTATAGTGTTCAGCTTAGAGCGACATCCACAGTTTTGAGATTGTTGGCTGGTGTGGTTGAGGTGGCGGGCACGACAAACTTCCTTCGTCAAAGACGGCGCGGGTAATCATGATCAGAGATGTTTGGCGCATCAACCTCGAAAAATCATACCTGCTTGGCTCAGTATTTGACGGAGCAGGACACATTAAAGTTGGGATACGAAGAAATATGAGTCCTACGCCTAAGCCTTGCGTGAACGAGCACACAAAATGTACCTCAGAAAGCCTCCTTACACCTCTTCCTTCTTCCAAGCGGCACACTACCCATCTTTTATAGATGCCTCAATTCTCCACTATTATCCTACACCAAGATCGGAGAGATTCTGGTAGAACGAAGAATCACTGCACGACCAATTTTGAGGTCTTGAGGTTGAGGTGCTATTGAGATTCGATCCACTGTAGATCAGACAAATTTTAGGATCAAAAGCGATATAGAAATCACAGATGCACATACTGGATATCAAGTACCAGCGGAGGATATGGGATGGAATATCGACCGCGACGATGAGGTGGTGATCGGAAGAAGGGTGACGGGTATGGGGGTACCTCATTTCCGAGGTGGACCCGATGGAGGGGTTTCTCACGTACAAAGAACCCCCCCTCAAAGGCCTACCTCACCCTGTGACAAGTCGTGCCTAAGGTGGGTAGACGTTCGTGGCCTAGTCTAAGTATGTGATTATTTCGGCTCCCGGCGTCGTCGACTGAACCCGACCATCAAGTCATGTATGGATTTCATTGTAGCGTAATAACGTGAGAGCAGGCTAGTGTGCGGATAGCAACAACGGTATCCATTGGAGATGGATATACAGAATATAGTATGCCTAGAGAAGCGCCATTACTGTGAGTTAAGAACGTCAAGATCAACTCCCCTGCGTGGTCGATGACCGGTGATGGATGTGAACATCGCTAATACATAGCCAGAAGGGGAAGAACAAAGAGTATCACGACCGGCGGTTTTCACATGTGCAGTACATCCCCGTACAATGACATTTGCTGTAAGAGGGCCAGCATAGAAGATAGAGCGCCTGAGTCCGCACACCATGCGAGCGCCGAGCACAGGCCAGCGTCCCGCGGAGAAAATGTACCTTCCCAATAGATTATATTTTGGATTATATCTCTCGGAGTTGGGGAGGTACTTGTACTTATGCCTCTGAAACCGCGGTTTACTTCCCTCCCTCACTTACTATCAGTGCAACGTCCATACATACTATGGGATTCTTTCGGAGGTCGTCTGGCTTTCAGGTGAAGCACGGCTCATTTAACGCTGCCCAGGGCACGTCTTCCACAACACATACAACTCTTCCGAGAACACACCCAGTCTTCACAACACCACGATCGATGGAGAGAACCATAATCACTTCCATTATCATGTCACGGGCAGAAAGAATCAGAGGGGAAAAGTGTGGGCAGTCCCTCAATGATGAATGGTGAACCTAATATCTCTTAGATCTTGTCTAGCTTCGGGAAGGGTGCCAAAGAAGACGCGGCTCGGACGTTCTCCCAGAATCGTGCTGGGGAAACCTATTACCGTCCATGTGCCCTTTGCGAAGGTCACCACGATGCCTCACGGGAGCTTGGACTAATCATGGAGTATGAATCTGTCCTAAGGCACTTGATGAGGGTGCGGACTGAGTATATGTGGAGGTCAAAGGCCATCTAGAGCGCGCGAAGGGTCTCATCATGGCTCACAATTGGAGGCGGAAGAACTGCTTCAGTGCGTTATCAAAACACGGGACCATGACCACTCGAAAACATCTCTATTGAGCCCGCCAGGATATTGCGAAACGGAAACGCCACCCATGTACTCTCTTGTACCGATATATGTATTTTGACATCATTCGATCCACCGTCGTAATTCATGATTCGTACATTTCTCCAGGGTCCTTTCGAAACTTAG